GAAAAAGAATTACAGAGAACTCAAATGGTTAATTAAGATAAAATTATTTGATTTACAAAAAAGGTCAAATGTAAAATGTAAAAAAGAGAGACTCCCATAATGCACACATACGGAAGAGGATTAGGGCCACTGGCAAAAAAAAAATGCTAACTGATTTTTAAATTTTATTTCAGTTTAACATAGGATTCCTATATTGTATACAGGATTCTCAGGATTCTGACTTTTTTTCTCAGAATTCTGACTTTATTTCTCAGAAATCTGACTTTTTTTCTCAGAATTCTGATTTTATTCTCAGAATTCTGACTTTAATCTCAGAATTCTGACTTTAATCTCAGAATTCTGACTTTATTCTCAGAATTCTGACTTTAATCTCAGAATTCTGACTTTAATCTCAGAATTTTGACTTTATTCTCAGAATTCTGACTTCAATCTCAGAATTCTGACTTTAATCTCAGAATTTTGACTTTATTCTCAGAATTTTGACTTTATTCTCAGAATTCTGACTTTATTCTCGGAATTCTGACTTTTTTTCTCAGACTTCTGACAGATAAGAAACATGTTAGCATCAAGCCATAGCCATGTCTGTTTTAGAGACTAGCTCTCTTTTTTTAATGAGCTTCTGCTCCTCCATTAATGAGGGGACCTCTCGGGTGTAAAAAGTTGCCTAATTCCGTCATTTTCCACCAATGTGTCACTGGCCACCTCAAACAACTCACATCTTTATCAGTGAAGCTGAGTGCTCCACATCTCTTCCTTCATGGTGCCCATCTACATTACAGTTTTTTTGGATTGCTTACACACTAAAGTTAAAAGTAGTACACTATTAGCAAAACCTTACACTCAAGAAGCAAAACAACAGCCCATATTTGCACAACTATAAGCACATTGTCAACCTCACACTTGTTGCAAAACTCTACACACAGTGATTTACGAAACACTAAACACACTTAACATACATTACACACAAAAATCTATTATGAAACCACTTCCTTGCAATACCAAAGCACTGACTGTCAAATTACCGCACCTTCCAACCAATTGATTCAACACAGTCATCAGGTGTGCAAACACTTGTTTGCTTAATTGTAGACACACCAATCAGGTGTATAAGCACTATAAAAAGCAGCAGGTAAGTTCATCGGTCTTCAAGCACAATAGAAAGAGGGTGGAGGAGAAGGAGAAGGACAAGGAGGAGGAGAAGGACAAGGAGGAGGAGAAGGACAAGGAGGAAGAGGAGGAAGGGGAGGATGAGGAATCAACAGAGGAGGAATCAACGGAAGAGGAAGAGATGGAGGCCATGCTGGAGGTATAGGTAGTGGAAGAGGAAGACAAGAACGTGCTCAAAGAGGACCGAATCTGACAAATGAGATCCATGCAACACAGGTTGACCACGTTGTCAACCACGGCCTGACGCTGAGGGAGGCTGGACTGCGAGTAAAGCCAAATCTAAGACGATACACAGTGGCAAGTGTGATAAGAACATTTCGACTGGAAAATAGGTATTGTAAAAATATCATCATATCAAAAACATCTGCACGGTTTAAGCAACTGCTTACAGTACTATCAGCACTTCTGTTACCTTTTCTTGTGAAATTACTGTACTATTGTTTACTGTTTTTTTCGACATAGGATTGAGGGTCAGGAACGACGAGGGGAAAGGGCTCCTATATTCACAGAACATCAAGAGAGGGAGATAGTAAACATGGTTTTGGCCAACAATGCTATAACCCTCAATCAGCTCCAAGCTAACATTGTCAATAACCACGTCGGTTTCAACAATATCCATCAGGTCTCAACATCAACACTGGCACGCATCCTAATAAAAAACCATATTCAAATGAAGAAAATTTATCGAGTGCCTTTAGATCGCAATTCCGAAAGGGTGAAACGACTGCGGCATGATTATGCAGAGGTATGTATTCACCTAAGCATTGTGATCTTGCATACTGTCTCATAATCTTTTACTGTACTGTAGTATGTATACTAGATCTACACTGAACACAATTTTGCCTGACACTGTTCTTCAGAGAGTTTTACAAATGGATGGAGAGGAGATCCAGCACGAGTTCATTTACGTAGATGAGGCTGGGTTCAACCTGACGAAAAGACGAAGGAGGGGAAGAAACATCATTGGCCACAGGGCTATAGTCAATGTCCCAGGGCAACGTGGGGGTAATATAACACTCTGTGCAGCCATTACACAGAATGGGGTCCTCCACCGCCATGCCCATATGGGCCCTTACAACACAGCACTCATACTTACATTCTTGGACCAATTGCACAACATAACAGCAGCAAATCAAATCGATCATATGCAATACATTGTTGTCTGGGACAATGTGTCTTTCCACCGCTCTGCTCTGGTTCAGAACTGGTTTCAGCAACATCCACATTTCACCGTCCTATATCTTCCACCATACACTCCATTTCTCAACCCTATAGAAGAGTTTTTCTCGGCATTGCGGTGGAAGGTATATGATCTCCGTCTCCAGGCTGAGGTACCCCTCATCCAGGCCATGGAGGAGACCTGTGACCAGATGGAGGTAGCAGCAATTCAAGGATGGATTCGTCATTCAAGACGTTTCTTTCCAAGGTGTCTTGCTAATGACAACATTGCCTGCAATGTTGATGAAATTCTCTGGCCAGATCCAGCTAGGCGAAGAGACAATGTCTAGTTTTTGTTTTGTTATTTTACAGTATAATTACAGAACAATACGTAAAGTGACATTTTGTTACAGTATTATGAATCTCCATGTCCTGTTTTTAATGTTTTTATCTGCCTGTACAGTGTCCTTGGGTGTTGTGATAAGGCGCTTTCAAATAAAATGTATTATTATTATTAACATTTTGGGCGTGTTGAGAAATAAATGAGTTTCTTCAGTCTGCAACATTGGTCTTGTGTAGTGTTTGGTGAATTTACATTATATTTGTACTTTGTTGATGGTAGCCAACTCTAATCATAGGGAAGTAGAAGTGCTAAAAGTGTTTTAGGTTTATCACAGCAGAGTGTAACTCGTGCAAACAGAGTATAGTAATGTGAAACGTGTGTGTTTCATATGGTAACAAAGTGTGGTTTTTAAACAGAAGTGTATAGTTTTTACAAGAGTGTTTAATTATGCAAAGGATCTGTAGTGTTTTGCTAATTGGGTGTGTGGTTGTGCTAATTGTGTGTAGTGTTTTGTCAGAATTCTGACTTTAAAATCAGAATTCTGACTTTTTTTCCCATGTTAAATTGAAATAAAATTTAAAAGTCAGTTAACTTTATTTTTTTTTCCAGTGGCCCTAATCCTCTTCTGTACACACATAAAACATATTAACTATAGAAAGTATTAAAAATCCTAACAAGAAAAACCTAAAATCTATAAACACAAATAGTCTGATTTCCTTTTAGTTATTTTATTTTCCTTTTAGAAAGATATACTTTTTATTTTAACCTTTATTTTACCAGGAAGTCCCTTGAGATAAAATCTCTTTTTCGAGGGAGACCTGGCCAAGAGGCAGCAGTACAGTAAGACCTATAAAAACACAGGACAACATAAAATCTATATAAAGAAATAATGGCTATTTGATATTAGCTTTAAATTACAAATTCATGAAGCATTTTTTCTGTGGCAAAAAGGGAAGAGCCAAATTTAAAACAATCATTTGCTTTTATTTTCTGTCGTGATTAACTAAAATAAATTTTAAAACAAAAAAGAGGTCTGCTTATTTTCCCTGGGAGCAGATGTGATCAGCTGCTTGTTTCGTTAAGGCGCCATTGTTGCTTAAACAAGAATAAAATGTCTTCCGAGCCTCAATCAGTCCTGATTTCATCCACAGATGTAGAAAGCAGGTGTCAGAACAAGAAGATGTTACAGAAGAAACACAAAAGGTTTGGAAATGGATCCCAAGCTGGTGAGGTTCACTTTTACTGGATGTTACTAATCAGATTAACCTGTTCTAGTTTCTATTTAAACTGCTTGGTCCCAGCCATCAGTGCCAGATTATTTGAGCCATAGGTGAGAGTTCTCTGGTGTACCCAGTGTTTTTATTCTGATCCTGACTAGTTTCATTTCTGATCTGTTTGTCTGACCTGTATACAGACTTCCATTGGATTCTGCCTGCTAATGACCTTGGATCTGTCTCCCAATCCCGGCTTGGATTTCCCTTTGGTACCTCTTCTTATCTCTGATCTCCTGGCCTGGACTTCTGCTTACTCATCGACACCGTCACTAACCTGTGTTTCCTGCTCTACAGAGATTCCAGCCATCCTGTCTAAGCTGACAAGATGCAGAATTTAATAAACGTTTTCATGACTCCCTTCGGTCTGTCTGCCTGAATTCTTGGTCCAACGTTCTGAGTCTTGACAGTGATATTGTTTTTGCTGTCTGCCGTGTATTTAGCAGCTGTTTTAGTTTATTTGTCTGGGTTGCTGTATTATTGGATAGGTCCCCTTGGGTTCTGTGTTAGATTTTAGTATCATCATCTTCCATTCAGCTGGCTTTTTTTTAAACTTTATTGTTTGCATTACATTACATTCTCCTCATCAATAAATTGTTAATTTCTCCATGTTGCTTTGTTTGGTCATCAGTTGAGATCAACAGATCATTCAGCCACCTCCACCTGCCAGCGCCTCTCACCTGTTATTTACAGTGTTAAATGGTTCACCTGGATCAGAACAGGTGGAGTCAGTCAGTTCAGCCTGCTGGGTTCCAGGAGAATCATGTTTTCAGTAGACTAACAGAACAGCTGTGATTTTGTGGTTTTATGCAGCCTGCTGTTTAAAAACAGGACAATGACGTCACTACCACGTAGGGTGGGTAACGTCTCAGTATCTTCGCGGGTTTCACTCCCTTGCTATCAGACAGATTAACTGCTGATCTTATATTTCGTTGTTCATTGAATGACTGAATTTATTTTGAAAGGATTCTCCGGAAGCTGCGTCTGCTCCCAGCTGAGTATTTTAAATGCCCCCCCTCCCCTCCTGCGCCCAGTGACGTCTGTTAATGACTGGCAGCCTCCCAGTGATCTCCCCCCTCCCCTCCCCTCTGCCTCCTGGACATCCTCGCTGACGGTCCCGGCTTTCCGGGCTCTCTTAACCGGCTTCACCTGCTCCCTGCTCGGCCTGCAGGGCCGCGAACAGCCACTGGAGCCGCTCACTGGATGCTGAGCCTCCGCCGAGCCGGTGAAGCAGAACCGAGCCTCCCGGAGCCCCAGTACTGGACCAACGCGGTTCTTCTCTCATCATTTCTTCCAATGTCACGAGCAAGGAGATCCATCTAAGGACGTCATCAGCCCACATCCGGTGCAGGATGGACTAAACCGATTCCTCCGAGTCCATCTGAAGCACACCGGCACCGGAGTGCTGGAAGTGGAAGGGCTGCATCTTACTGGTGATACTGGGAGGATAAAACAAACATTCGGGATCTGTGGTTGACAGCCGGTCACTGGACCGGAACCCGCGCGGACAGAGCCGCTGTGGGAAGGAGGAGGCAGAGGCGGCAGCAGCGTGGGGGAACCGAACCGACAACCTGGGGGGGTGGGGGGAATGGGGTCCGAAGAGGATGAGAGGATGGGTCTGCTGTTTGGACTCCTGTGGCTGTTCGGCAGCTTCCTGCAGGGCGCGCAGAGCCAGGGCGTCTACGGTAAGAACCAGAAACCAGAACAAGAACCAGAACCCAAACAAGAACTAGAAACAGAACCAAGAACCAGATCTAGAACCTGAACCCAAACCAGAACTACAACTAGAACCAAAACCCAAACCAGGACTAGAACTAGAACCAGAACCCAGAACAAGAACCCAAACAAGAACTAGAACCAGAACCCAAACCAGAACTAGAACCAGAACCCGAACTAGAACCCAAACCAGAACCAGGAATAGAACCAGAACCCAAACCAGAACCAGAACTAGAACTAGAACCAGAACTAGTGCTAGAACCAGAACCTAAAACCAAAACCAGAACCCAGAACAAGAACCAGAACCCAAACAAGAACTAGAACCCGAAACAGAACTCAAACCAGAACCAGAAGTAGAACTGGAACCAGAACCCAAACCAGAACCAGAATTAGAACTAGAACCAGAATTAGAGCTAGAACCAGAACCTAAAACCAGAACCCAAACCAGGACCAGAACTAGAACCAGAACCCAAACCAGAACTAGAACCAGAACCCGAACTAGAACCCAAACCAGAACCAGGAATAGAACCAGAACCCAAACCAGAACCCAAACCAGAACCAGAACTAGAACTAGAACCAGAACTAGTGCTAGAACCAGAACCTAAAACTAAAACCAGAACCCAGAACAAGAACCAGAACCCAAACAAAAACTAGAACTAGAACCCGAAACAGAACCAGAATTAGAACTAGAACCAGAATTAGAGCTAGAACCAGAACCTAAAACCAGAACCCAAACCAGAACTAGAACCAGAACCCAAACCAGGACTAGAACTAGCACCCAAACCAGAACCAGAGTTAGAACCTAAACGAGAACCCAAACCAGAACGCAATCCAGAACTAGAACCAGAACCCAAACCAGGACTAGAACTAGCACCCAAACCAGAACCAGAGTTGGAACCTAAACCAGAACCCAAACCAGAACTAGAACCCAAACCAGAACCAGAACTAGAACCAGAACCCAAACCAGAACTAGAACCAGAACCACAACCCAAACCAGAACTAGAACCAGAACTCGAACTAGAACCCAAACCAGAACCAGGACTAGAACCAGAACCCAAACCAGAATCAGAACTAGAACCAGAACTAGAGCTAGAACCAGAACCTAAAACCAGAACCTAAACCAGAACTAGAACCAGAATTAGAATCATAACTAGAACTAGAACCAGAACTAGAACCCAAACCATAACTAGGACCAGAACCCAAACCAGAACTAGAACCAGAATTAGAATCATAACTAGAACTAGAACCAGAACTAGAACCCAAACCATAACTAGGACCAGAACCCAAACCAGAACTAGAACCAGGACCCAAACCAGGACTAGAACTAGCACCCAAACCAGAGCCAGAGTTAGAACCTAAACCAGAACCCAAACCAGAACCAGAACTAGAACCCAAACCAGAACTAGAACCAGAACCCAAACCAGAACTAGAACTAGAACCAGAACCACAACCCAAACCAGAACCACAACCCAAACCAGAACTAGAACCAGAACTCGAACTAGAACCCAAACCAGAACTAGGACTAGAACCAGAACCCAAACCAGAATCAGAACTAGAACCAGAACCTAAAACCAGAACCTAAACCAGAACTAGAACCAGAATTAGAATCATAACTAGAACCAGAACTAGAACCCAAACCATAACTAGGACCAGAACCCGAACCAGAACTAGAACCAGGACCCAAACCAAAACTAGAATCCAAACAGAACCGGAACTAGAACCAGAACCAGAACTATAACCAGAACTAGGACCAGAACTAGAACCAGTACTAGAACCCAAACCAGAACCAGAACCCAAATGAGAACTAGAACTAGAACCCAAACCAGAACCAGAATTAGAACTAAAACCAGAACTAGAATAAGAATTAGAAGCAGAACTACAACCAGAACTAGAACTAGAACATGATGCTGGGCAGAGCAAAGGAACGTCTACATCAGCGGTCCCCAACCTTTTTTGCACCACGGGCCGCTATATGTCAGACAATATTTTCACGGACCGGCCGGTGGGGGGTGGGTGGATACGATCAAGTAAGATGATACGATTGGCGTAAAATCAAATACAAACGGCATAAAAATAAATCAACATGCCGGTCCCATCTAGGCGTAATCGGAGACAATGACACATGAAGTGTGCTCCTGATGTCCAGTCTGCTCCATAGCTTTGTTTTGGTCGCTGTAACCGCAGAAAATCCCGCTTCACAAAGATAGGATGTTATAGATAGGATGAATCTTGAACTGAATCAACCTGTGTCAAGAGGCACAGATGCACCGACTGATGTAATTGGGAGAGAATACTGCAATTTTTTATATTTTTCAAAATAAAACATCACTCAGACTCTGATCGTCGATAACTTATATATTATATATATATATATATATTTTATTATTTTTTTTTTTCTGTGCGGCCCGGTACCAAATGACCGCTGGTCTACATGTTGCGGTTAGAGCAGAGGAACGCCTACATGATGGTGGATAGAGCGGAGGAACGTCTACATGGTGGCGGATAGAGCAGAGGAAGGTCTACATGATGGCTGGTAGGTCAGAAGAACGTCTACATGGCGGTTAGAGCAGAGACATATACATGATGGCGGGTAGAGCAGAGGAATGTCTACATGTTGGCTGGTAGGTCAGAGGAACGTCTACATGATGGCTGGTAGGGCAAAGGAACGTCTATATGATGGTGGCTAGAGCGGAGCAACGTCTACATAATGGCGGTTAGAGCAGAGGAACGTCTACATGGCGGTTAGAGCAGAGACATATACATGATGGCGGGTAGAGCAGAGGAATGTCTACATGTTGGCTGGTAGGTCAGAGGAACGTCTACATGATGGCTGGTAGGGCAAAGGAACGTCTATATGATGGTGGCTAGAGCGGAGCAACGTCTACATAATGGCGGTTAGAGCAGAGGAACGTCTACATGATGGCGATGAGGGCAGATGAACGTCTACATGTTGGCGGTTAGAGTGGAGGGACGTCTGCATTATGGCAGTTAGAACAGATGAACGTCTACATGATTGTGGTTAGAACAGATGAACAACTACTTGATGGCGGTTAGAGCAGAGTATGGTCTACATGAGGGCAGTTAAAACAGGAACGTCTACATGATGGCGGTTTGAGAAGAGGAACATCTACATGATGGGGGTTAGAGCGGAGGGATGTGTACATTATGGCAGTGAGAACGTAATTGTGGTAAGAGCAGAAGAACGTCTACATGATGGCACTTAGAGCAGAGGGACGTCCACATGATGACAGTTAGAGCGGAGGAATGTCTACATGATGGAAGTTAAAAGAGGAACGTCTACCTGATGGCCGTTAGAGCAGATGAGCGCCTACATTATGGAGGTTAAAACAGGAACGTCTACATGATGGTGGCTAGAGCGGAGGAACGTCTACATTATGGAGGTTAAAACAGGAACGTCTACATGATGGTGGCTAGAGCGGAGGAACGTCTACATTATGGAGGTTAAAACAGGAACGTCTACATGATGGTGGCTAGAGCGGAGGAACGTCTACATTATGGAGGTTAAAACAGGAACGTCTACATGATGGTGGCTAGAGCGGAGGAACGTCTACATTATGGAGGTTAAAACAGGAACGTCTACATGATGGTGGCTAGAGCGGAGGAACGTCTACATTATGGAGGTTAAAACAGGAACGTCTACATGATGGTGGCTAGAGCGGAGGAACGTCTACATTATGGAGGTTAAAACAGGAACGTCTACATGATGGTGGCTAGAGCGGAGGAACGTCTACATGATGGAGGTTAAAACAGGAACGTCTACATGATGGTGGCTAGAGCGGAGGAACGTCTACATGATGGAGGTTAAAACAGGAACGTCTACATGATGGTGGCTAGAGCGGAGGAACGTCTACATTATGGAGGTTAAAACAGGAACGTCTACATGATGGTGGCTAGAGCGGAGGAACGTCTACATTATGGAGGTTAAAACAGGAACGTCTACATGATGGTGGCTAGAGCGGAGGAACGTCTACATTATGGAGGTTAAAACAGGAACGTCTACATGATGGTGGCTAGAGCGGAGGAACGTCTACATTATGGAGGTTAAAACAGGAACGTCTACATGATGGTGGCTAGAGCGGAGGAACGTCTACATGATGGAGGTTAAAACAGAAACGTCTACATGATGGTGGCTAGAGCGGAGGAACGTCTACATGGTGGCGGATAGAGCAGAGGAAGGTCTACATGATGGCTGGTAGGTCAGAAGAACGTCTACATGGCGGTTAGAGCAGAGACATATACATGATGGCGGGTAGAGCAGAGGAATGTCTACATGTTGGCTGGTAGGTCAGAGGAACGTCTACATGATGGCTGGTAGGGCAAAGGAACGTCTATATGATGGTGGCTAGAGCGGAGCAACGTCTACATAATGGCGGTTAGAGCAGAGGAACGTCTACATGATGGCGATGAGGGCAGATGAACGTCTACATGTTGGCGGTTAGAGTGGAGGGACGTCTGCATTATGGCAGTTAGAACAGATGAACGTCTACATGATTGTGGTTAGAACAGATGAACAACTACTTGATGGCGGTTAGAGCAGAGTATGGTCTACATGAGGGCAGTTAAAACAGGAACGTCTACATGATGGCGGTTTGAGAAGAGGAACGTCTACATGATGGGGGTTAGAGCGGAGGGATGTGTACATTATGGCAGTGAGAACGTAATTGTGGTAAGAGCAGAAGAACGTCTACATGATGGCACTTAGAGCAAAGGGACGTCCACATGATGGCAGTTAGAGCGGAGGAATGTCTACATGATGGAAGTTAAAAGAGGAACGTCTACATGATGGCTCGTAGGGCAAAGGAACGTCTATATGATGGTGGCTAGAGCGGAGGAACGTCTACATGATGGAGGTTAAAACAGGAACGTCTACATGATGGTGGCTAGAGCGGAGGAACGTCTACATTATGGAGGTTAAAACAGGAACGTCTACATGATGGTGGCTAGAGCGGAGGAACGTCTACATGATGGAGGTTAAAACAGAAACGTCTACATGATGGTGGCTAGAGCGGAGGAACGTCTACATTATGGAGGTTAAAACAGGAACGTCTACATGATGGTGGCTAGAGCGGAGGAACGTCTACATTATGGAGGTTAAAACAGGAACGTCTACATGATGGTGGCTAGAGCGGAGGAACGTCTACATTATGGAGGTTAAAACAGGAACGTCTACATGATGGTGGCTAGAGCGGAGGAACGTCTACATTATGGAGGTTAAAACAGGAACGTCTACATTATGGCGAATGGAGCAGAGTTAAAATGGATTCTGAGATGATTCTCAGGTTTAGTCCCATGATGGCTTCATAAACACGGTCCTCCAGCTTCACTGTTTTCATTTCCTGACAAATTTATATCCAGCGGTAAAAAGAAAACGATGACCATGGAACGCTGCAGACCAGAGGACGGTGGTCATCATCGACCTTCATCACATCGACTATGTGATGTGTTGAAGCTTCAGCCTGTGGAACACGGTTTGATGGATGTACAGTATTAAACAAATGGGAGATCAATAAAAAGGAGCAGCTGAAGGCAGCCAGCTGACAGCTCTGCTCATTTTCTACTGTAGACTGCAGGCTCAAAGCCCACCGTAGAAATACGACAGTCAGAGCTGCCTCTGTGGGAACATTTCCCTGCATTCCTGCTTCCCCACCTTCGGTCCGTCCGGCTCTAGATCTGCAGCTTTCGTCCTAAAGATAAGCGGAGTTCAGACATGTCGGAAATGACTCTGGTTAACAGAAGAAAGTAAATATTTGAACATTTTAATGTTAAAAAATCTGTAGACAAACTAATGTAGGAATTCACTGAAGCAGCAGATAACTTTCATCTTTTAAATCTCTATAAATCTGTTTCTATCAGAGGTCTTTGAACCCAAAGCAGACGGTCTCTGAGTTTAAGGTTTTTCTTTCCGGTCGATTGAAAGGCCAGATGTTGACGGCTGGTTCTGCCATCCCTCAGCGTCCATCTGTCAGCAGCAGCATCCCGGCAGCGGGAGGGCGGCCGCCCACGTCATGGCCGACCTCTTGGAGGGTCCACATGTGAGATTAAGGTCACTTTATCACATCAAACATTTCAACCAATGAAGAAGAAAATGTTTCCCGCCTGATCCGGGCTGACCTTTGAACCCGGTCCGCTGCGTTCTGCTCTCCCTCAGAGGAGCTGTAATCCTATCTGGGACAGATTGGAGCTGTTATGTAACCTTCAGCTGCTCTGCGTTCCTTTAGCTTCCTACTATCTGCTGAGTCATGTTAAAACAAACCGGGCTCTCCATCAGAACCGGGCTAACAGCCGGAGTGGGGGGATTAGGATGGAACATCTGGATATTAGTGATATATTTAGAAAGAGAGTCACTCTGATTCATGGATTCCTGTGTGGATAGGAAGTAAGGGTTAAGGTTATTTATTATGGGAGCGGATACAGGGATGGACTCAAAGATTTATGAAAATCCTCCACTATACCTTCAATAGTGAACTGAACTAAACAATCCAAGATCAGAATCAAACCTCCAGGATGACAGCGCAGGTTGTTGTTAAACAGCTTTCACTGGTGCTGGTTATGATGCATATCGTTCACCAGGACCAGTCGCCTTCTCAGGAGCTCCATCCAGGTCTCATGCTGAGCTTCTCCCAGCCTACTTTCTCCAGACGAACCAGCAGAACATCTCCTTCTGAGCCGTGGAACAGTTCCTGTCCTGCACATCCTGAGGAATTCCAAAAAATTTTCAAAAACAATCCACTGGACTTTGTTTCTCAGTGTGAAGACGTTTCTCTTCCCATCCAGGAAGCTTTTTCAATTCAAAATGTGAAATAGTTTTGAGTTCCAGGTTTTATACAGCAGCCCAAAAAGCCTTGTTTTTGTTTAGAAAACATGCAAATTGAAACAGACGAACGGGTCCACCCCTTTGGAATGGGGGTCGTTTGTGTTCTTTGTTAGCCCGCAATGCCCCTTACCTGTCTATGTCTCTGAAAGGGGGTCGATAGGGGGGATTATTGGCCTGGCTGAATAGGTGAGGTCTTCTGTTCCCCTGTAAAGGGTTTAGGGTTGCGATAATAGCGAGAAGGAATCAAAGCCTGGAACTCAACGCTATTTCTGACATTTTTGAATTGAAAAGCTTCCTGGATGGAAAGAGAAATGTCTTCAAACTTGGAAAGTCTAGTGGATTGTTTTTGAACATTTTTTGGAATGACTATGACCTGGATGACTGAGAACATTCACCAATATCCGGGGAATACTGAATGTGATTAAAGTCAGTGAGCAGGAATTCTTGTGCAAATGATCGACTGTAGCAAAGGAACTGTTTCCATGTTTATGAGTCAAAGATGATGAAAGATAAACCATGACGATGTTCACAGTGGGTCTGACTGTATGCTCTACAGGCTTGAGTGATTGGTACCCATGCATTAAATACCTGAATGAATGGAGAATATTTGTAATACTATGCTGTTGGTCGCCCTGCAGACCTCATGCTGACCTACTGAACCATCTCCTCCTCTCTGTGTTTGTGTCGCCATTCACAGCATCCCCCACCGTGCGGATCGTGCACGCAGGTCAGGCCTGTAACGTGGAGGAGGAGCAGTACAGTGAGAGGGTTTACACCATCCGAGAGGGAGAGACACTGGAACTGCAGTGCCTGGTCACCGGACACCCCCGCCCTCAGGTAAGCATGGTCTGATTGTGGGTCTGGGTCGGTACCAGACTGGGACCGGTCCACAGGGGGCATCAGTGGATCACGCTCAGACTAGGGCTGCAACTAACCATTATTAATCTGTCTACAAATGTTTTAAGTAATCGATTAATAATTGGGTAGCCAAAGGTTCCTTACAGAAGGCTTTTTATAAAATGAAACCAGGACAAACTAAAACTATTCCACCTGAGGAGTTCTGGATAGAGCAGATTGACAGGCGAAAACATTAAAGCTACAGTGTGTAATAATTACAGGGATATACAGTCAGAAATGTAATATATTATACATAACTATGTTATTTATCATCATCTACGAGCTCAGCCTCTTAACCTTAATATTTGCGTTGCCTTAGAATTCGTTATTTATAATTACATAGGAGCGGGTCTCGCAGCCATGGAGGCAGACATCTTTGCGCTACGGCAGCGCAGAGCCAACAAACTAGCGATTGCGAGATCGCCCATTACGCTCGAAAGTAACTACGGCAAGTTGAGAGAGATGAACTGAGACGGTACTGAACACACAGACTAATGAAATACTATCTGTAAAATTATCTATGTAAACAAACCTCATCACTTGAGAAGGTAGGTGATGCGGACGTCGTGGAAGACATTTTGTCCCGTAACGCTCGCCGTACTGTTGGGGGGGAGATGTTCATGTTGCTGCGGTCTGCAGTCTGGACGTTAGATGTCGCTGAAAATTACACACTGTAGCTTTAAATGCAAAATATTTATACATTTTTTTTTGCAATCTTGGTATAATTCCTGCTCTAAGTGTGTCACTCTGTCAGCTAAAGGCATGTTTTACGGTCTCTAAAATCACGATTAATCTAATTAATTGTTCAAGCCTTAGTTAAGACCTAAAATAGAGCAACATTTAGAGGGATTCTGGTTCCTTTGGTGGTTGATCATGACCAGAGGAACTCATGAGTCTAATCGACTGCTTCTCACCTGTAGTCTGTTTCATGAAACAGGTTTACTAAAAACTCCACTTTATCTAAACCTCTGTTTCTGTTGCCATAGTAACACCTTCCTAGAGCTAATCTGGTCAGCAGCAGGTTTCCTTCAGTAAACTCAGTTTCCTCTGTCTCTGCTCTCCTTACAGCCAATCACACTGTTTTAGTTCCAGATTTAGTCTGATTTTTCTCATAGTTTTCTGCATAAAAAAAATAAAGCCATAGGACGCATTAGGTTTTAAAAACAAACATTGCATGTCCGTACGAGGATCTTATTAAAGAATGGTCGGCATTAATTCACAGAGAATTAAATATTTATAGGGAGAGGATTCTCCAACTACATGACAAGATAGGAGATTACTGCTTTTTGGTTTGTTTAATATGAGTGAGATGCGGATCATTTTATTTTTATTTAGTTATATTTACATTACATTAAGAACTTCTGAAATAGTTTTCAGATTACACATAAATGAATTCATTAATTTCCCGGAGGAAAAGGAATTATTTTAAGGTTAGGATTAGGATTCACTCGATGATAACAACCTACTGAGCCTACTGGCAAAATCTGAAGCTATTCTATGGGACTGATAGCCGCTAATAACGGCCATTTGTTGGGATGATAACATCCGAAGCACGGCTGCAAACAGCCACTCAGTATTTACTGTTTGAAAAAAGACAGAATCAACATGAAGAGGAACCCATGAGACGATGAACAGGTTCTATCTATTAGAATGTTTCTAGACCTCATCCTCACCTGCTGACAGAAGAATTTCCCTAAATAGATCCAATCATCCACTACCATTAAAGAAGTAATCCAGTAATGTTATCTATTGTTGTGGTCACAACAGGTTATGGCAAGCAGTTTGATATTAATTAGCTTTACTAAACATGCATTCCTGATATCTGAAAAAAAAAATAGTTATTTGTCTAAATTATAATTTTGAACAAAATGACATTCTTCCCATCTAGAATAAACATTCTGGATGTCTAGAAATTATTTTCAGATCTCCTGGTCAGCATTTGTATTATTCTAGCTATGAAAAATGTTTTTCAGGTATCATAAATACATTTTCAGTCAAGCTGACATTTTTAGATATATAAAACTTCATTCTTACTACTATAATTTAGTGTTTTTTTATTTTCTGAAATTCAGTTTCTGCTGCAAAAATGTAATTTAGAAAATCTATTATTACAGTTCAGTCTAGCAGTGTGATTCTGATGAGGAAGAATCTTATTATACTGATCTACAAATTGAACAACAGAGAGGCAAGTGCTTTTAATAAATGTTAAAGCGGCCTGCCATAGAGCATTTCATAGAAACTTACTCATTAACTCGAACAACAATCTTCACCTTCACCATCTTCTTTCTCTGTTTTTAAACACATTGTTCAGTTGTCATTAAAATCTGAGCCCCAGTGAGCCCCAGGGCAGCTGTGGCTACAATGTAGCTTGCCACCATCAGTGTGTGAGTGTGTGTGTGAATGGGTGAATGAATGTGGTGTAAAGCGCTTTGGTCAAGTCTCCTAACTTGAATAAAGGCGCTATATAAGTACATGCCATTTACCATTTTACCATCTCTAGTTTCTACTTCCTGTTGCCTGTTGTCATGGTGACTCGTTGAATCCGGGCTTCGCTGATAATGGCTTTTTAAAGTCGTTACGCACGTGCTAAACTCTGAGCAGATCTACTTGGAGATGGCTGAACAAGATGATATCAGCCGTTGAGAAACCCTAAAACTCAGAGTTCCCGACTTTAGGCCAGATCAATTTAGAGTTGAGGATTTGAATCTGAGTTTGAAATGGATCCCAGAAAGGCCTTTGGGTACTATGAAAGAAAAAACTATTAGACTATCAACATTTGATTGAACCAGCGTTCATTGGACTGCCTATAAGGAAAGGAAGAAAGGAAGTTTTTCTGTATTGATGTAAAGCGTTAATCTGGGTATCGCTGGAGCTCAAAACTCCAGGTTTGCTTCTGTTTTAGGTGGTAGGGCTTCATTTGGTTCAGGTTTATGGTCTGCTTAATCAGAGTCTTCTGTCCCATACAATGGTTTTAGTTCATCGGATTCCATTTCTCAGAGACAATCTAACGCTTAGAAATGCAGCAACAGTAGCTGTTAGCTTGTTATGTAACAGACCTGTTTTTATTGGATTGACCTGCTGTCTAACTTTCTGCAAAGCCTCGGTAATGATGATACCGACTGGTTTTAGCCCTCCTGACCAGTAAGAGGCGTCCTCATGCCAGCCTGCCCTCTGTTCATACTGCTTGTGAGCTGGTTCATAGTCCACCAGCAGAAGCTGTCCTGCAGCAGCAGCCTCGGTGCTCCTTCTGAGACCCTTCAATGAATAGCCTGACTGACTTTCTAAAGCCTGGTTGACATTGTACAGCCTGACTGGCGTTCTAAAGCCTGGTTGACATTCTAAAGCCTGACTGGCGTTCTAAAGCCTGGTTAACATTCTAAAGCCTGACTGAAATTCTAAAACCTGGTTAACATTCTAAAGCCTGGCTGATGTTCTAAAGCCTGACTGACGTTCTGACAGACATTCTAAAGCCTGACTGGTGTTCTAAAGCCTGGTTAACATTCTAAAGCCTGACTGAGGTTCTAAAGCCTGGTAAACATTCTAAAGCCTGACTGGTGTTCTAAAGCCTGACTGACGTTCTGACAGACATTCTAAAGCCTGACTGGTGTTCTAAAGCCTGGTTAACATTCTAAAGCCTGACTGAGGTTCTAAAGCCTGGTAAACATTCTAAAGCCTGACTGGTGTTCTAAAGCCTGACTGGTGTTCTAAAGCCTGACTGGTGTTCTAAAGCCTGGCTAAAATTCTAAAGCCTGACTGAGGTTCTAAAGCCTGGTTAACATTCTAAAGCCTGACTGGTGTTCTAAAGCCTGGTTAACATTCTAAAGCCTGGCTGATGTTCTAAAACCTGGTTAACATTCTAAAGCCTGACTGATGTTCTAAAGCCTGGTTAACATTCTAAAGCCTGACTGACGTTCTAAAGCCTGGTTAACATTCTAAAGCCTGGCTGATGTTCTAAAACCTGGTTAACATTCTAAAGCCTGACTGATGTTCTAAAGCCTGGTTAACATTATAAAGCCTGACTGACGTTCTAAAGCCTGGTTAACATTCTAAAGCCTGACTGGTGTTCTAAAGCCTGGTTATCATTCTAAAGCCTGACTGGTGTTCTAAAGCCTGGTTAACATTCTAAAGCCTGACTGATGTTCTAAAGCCTGACTGGTGTTCTAAAGCCTGGTTAACATTCTAAAGCCTGGCTGGTGTTCTAAAGCCTGACTGGTGTTCTAAAGCCTGACTGGTGTTCTAAAGCCTGGCTAACATTCTAAAGCCTGACTGAGGTTCTAAAGCCTGACTGGTGTTCTAAAGCCTGGTTAACATTCTAAAGCCTGACTGACGTTCTAAAGCCTGGTTAACATTCTAAAGCCTGACTGGCGTTCTAAAGCCTGACTGGTGTTCTAAAGCCTGGTTAACATTCTAAAGCCTGGCTGATGTTCTAAAACCTTGTTAACATTCTAAAGCCTGACTGGCGTTCTAAAGCCTGGTTAACATTCTAAAGCCTGACTGACGTTCTAAAACCTGGTTAACATTCTAAAGCCTGGCTGATGTTCTAATGCCTGACTGACGTTCTGACAGACATTCTAAAGCCTGACTGGTGTTCTAAAGCCTGGTTAACATTCTAAAGCCTGACTGAGGTTCTAAAGCCTGGTTAACATTCTAAAGCCTGACTGGTGTTCTAAAGCCTGACTGGTGTTCTAAAGCCTGGTTAACATTCTAAAGCCTGACTGACGTTCTAAAGCCTGGTTAACATTCTAAAGCCTGACTGACGTTCTAAAGCCTGGTTAACATTCTAAAGCCTGACTGACATTCTAAAGCCTGGTTAACATTCTAAAGCCTGGCTGATGTTCTAAAACCTGGTTAACATTCTAAAGCCTGACTGATGTTCTAAAGCCTGGTTAACATTCTAAAGCCTGACTGATGTTCTAAAGCCTGGTTAACATTCTAAAGCC